TTGAACTTTCTTAAAGCCAGTCAACAAAATGAACACAAATTATATGTTGTTTTTAGGAAACACTAGTAATTACTTCCCTTGTCTCTATGACGAAGGTAAAAGCGCTCATAAAATCGCCTGTTCAACGCATGGTGTGAGTTCATTTGGGTCCGCTCGGATACTGTCCTGTATCATGGTGTGCTGAGATTTCATGACTATATTGTAAACCACACCACGACCGATGAGTCGGGATGTGTGGGGTTGGATGGGGTGGTGTGGTGTGTGTGTGTGTGTGTGTGTGTGTGTGTGTGTGTGTGTGTGTGTGTGTGTGTGTGTGTGTGTGTGTGTGTGTGAGAGAGGGGGGGGGGGGGGGGGGGGGGGGGGGGGAGTGAAGCGGGGAGGGGGCTGAGATTTTGTTTCGAGATTGGATATATTTTCAAAACTATGCGTTATTCGTTTTAAAGGCAGCGGTCATGACTTGAATTTGCTTTTTATACATACAACTCATTTATTAATATTCCCTAGCGCTCTGACAACATGCCTGACATACCAGCAGCAGCTCGCCATGATGTCTGAAGTCGCCACAGCAACCACTTTGTTTCAGCCATTTCCACATAAAACGTGTGGTTTCATCTGTGTGAGGCTTAGGGAGATCATAATGTTGGGCAATCGCTTGCTTTTACAAAACATCGACGGTCTCTATGTTTATTTCGAAGGGATGTTATTGTAAGAAGGCGGAAGTGATGCGGCTCTATGCCTTGCGAATACAACTGCCAAACTACGCACTGTCATATGGACATATACACATGCAAAATTTGATGACAACTGTATTAAAATCATCGTTGATAATAAATAGTATATAAACTTGTATTATCATACGGAAGACTTTGCGTAATTTTGTTGACAAATGTCATCGTTGAAAATAAATAGTATATATACTCGTGAAATATTTTTCTCTGTCCCTCGGATTTGATTTGTTTCTGTAATATCATTCTCTCCGGAGATGCAAGCAAACTAGTCTTGTGTACAAAACCTAGGTAGAAGTGTCATGTCGATATAGTCCTGTACTTAACACCGAGGTAGAAGTGTCATGTCGATATAGTCCTGTACTTAACACCGAGGTAGAAGTGTCATGTCGATATAGTCCTGTACTTAACACCTAGGTAGAAGTGTCATGTCGATATAGTCCTGTACTTAACACCTAGGTAGAAGTGTCATGTCGATAAAGTCCTGTACTTAACACCTAGGTAGAAGTGTCATGTCGATATAGTCATGTACTTAACACCTAGGTAGAAGTGTCATGTCGATATAGTCCTGTACTTAACACCGAGGTAGAAGTGTCATGTCGATATAGCCCTGTACTTAACACCTAGGTAGAAGTGTCATGTCGATATAGTCCTGTACTTAACACCGAGGTAGAAGTGTCATGTCGATATAGTCCTGTACTTAACACCTAGGTAGAAGTGTCATGTCGATATAGTCCTGTACTTAACACCGAGGTAGAAGTGTCATGTCGATATAGTCCTGTACTTAACACCTAGGTAGAAGTGTCATGTCGATATAGTCCTGTACTTAACACCTAGGTAAAAGTGTCATGTCGATATAGTCCTGTACTTAACACCCAGGTAGAAGTGTCATGTCGATATAGTCCTGTACTTAACACCTAGGTAGAAGTGTCATGTCGATATAGTCCTGTACTTAACACCTAGGTAGAAGTGTCATGTCGATATAGTCCTGTACTTAACACCTAGATAAAAGTGTCATGTCGATATAGTCCTGTACTTAACACCGAGGTAGAAGTGTCATGTCGATATAGTCATGTACTTAACACCTAGGTAGAAGTGTCATGTCGAGATAGTCCTGTACTTAACACCTAGGTAGAAGTGTTATGTCGATATAGTCCTGTACTTAACACCTAGGTAGAAGTGTCATGTCGATATAGTCCTGTACTTAACACCGAGGTAGAAGTGTCATGTCGATATAGTCCTGTACTTAACACCGAGGTAAGAGTGTCATGTCGATATAGTCCTGTACTTAACACCTAGGTAAAAGTGTCATGTCGATATAGTCCTGTACTTAACACCGAGGTAGAAGTGTCATGTCGATATAGTCCTGTACTTAACACCGAGGTAGAAGTGTCATGTCGATATAGTCCTGTACTTAACACCGAGGTAGAAGTGTCATGTCGAGATAGTCCTGTACTTAACACCGAGGTAGAAGTGTCATGTCGATATAGTCCTGTACTTAACACCTAGGTAAAAGTGTCATGTCGATATAGTCCTGTACTTAACACCGAGGTAGAAGTGTCATGTCGATATAGTCCTGTACTTAACACCGAGGTAGAAGTGTCATGTCGATATAGTCCTGTACTTAACACCTAGGTAAAAGTGTCATGTCGATATAGTCCTGTACTTAACACCGAGGTAGAAGTGTCATGTCGATATAGTCCTGTACTTAACACCGAGGTAGAAGTGTCATGTCGATATAGTCCTGTACTTAACACCGAGGTAGAAGTGTCATGTCGAGATAGTCCTGTACTTAACACCGAGGTAGAAGTGTCATGTCGATATAGTCCTGTACTTAACACCTAGGTAAAAGTGTCATGTCGATATAGTCCTGTACTTAACACCGAGGTAGAAGTGTCATGTCGATATAGTCCTGTACTTAACACCGAGGTAGAAGTGTCATGTCGATATAGTCCTGTACTTAACACCGAGGTAGAAGTGTCATGTCGAGATAGTCCTGTACTTAACACCGAGGTAGAAGTGTCATGTCGATATAGTCCTGTACTTAACACCGAGGTAAAAGTGTCATGTCGATATAGTCCTGTACTTAACACCCAGGTAGAAGTGTCATGTCGATATAGTCCTGTACTTAACACCCAGGTAGAAGTGTCATGTCGATATAGTCCTGTACTTAACACCGAGGTAGAAGTGTCATGTCGATATAGTCCTGTACTTAACACCTAGGTAGAAGTGTCATGTCGATATAGTCCTGTACTTGACACCTAGGTAGAAGTGTCATGTCGATATAGTCATGTACTCAACACCTAGGTAGAAGTGTCATGTCGAGATAGTCATGTACTTAACACCTAGGTAGAAGTGTCATGTCGATATAGTCCTGTACTTAACACCTAGGTAGAAGTGTCATGTCGATATAGTCCTGTACTTAACACCTAGGTAGAAGTGTCATGTCGATGTAGTCCTGTACTTAACACCTAGGTAAAAGTGTCATGTCGATATAGTCCTGTACTTAACACCGAGGTAGAAGTGTCATGTCGATATAGTCCTGTACTTAACACCTAGGTAAAAGTGTCATGTCGATATAGTCCTGTACTTAACACCCAGGTAAAAGTGTCATGTCGAGATGGTCCTGTACTTAACACCGAGGTAGAAGTGTCATGTCGATATAGTCCTGTACTTAACACCTAGGTAAAAGTGTCATGTCGATATAGTCCTGTACTTAACACCTAGGTAGAAGTGTCATGTCGATATAGTCCTGTACTTAACACCTAGGTAAAAGTGTCATGTCGATATAGTCCTGTACTTAACACCCAGGTAAAAGTGTCATGTCGAGATGGTCCTGTACTTAACACCTAGGTAGAAGTGTCATGTCGATATAGTCCTGTACTTAACACCTAGGTAAAAGTGTCATGTCGATATAGTCCTGTACTTAACACCCAGGTAAAAGTGTCATGTCGAGATGGTCCTGTACTTAACACCTAGGTAGAAGTGTCATGTCGATATAGTCCTGTACTTAACACCTAGGTAAAAGTGTCATGTCGATATAGTCCTGTACTTAACACCTAGGTAGAAGTGTCATGTCGATATAGTCCTGTACTTAACACCTAGGTAGAAGTGTCATGTCGAGATAGGGGTGGTGGTCGGGTAGCCTAGTGGTTAAAGCGTTCGCTCGTCACGCCGAAGACCCAGGTTCGATTCCCGACATGGGTACAATGTTACAAGCCCATTTCTGGTATCTCCCTCCGTGATATTAATGGAATATTTCTAAAAGCGGCTTCGTTAGCCTCCCCGTATCAACGCTGGCACCAGTGTGGAAGCGGCATTTATCTTGACCATTTTCCCTCTGACCCTCAATATAGAGACATTTTAATGTTGTGTATGTCTTTGGGAATGCTATTCTAGTGAATTGGGAGTGACTTACTATTTCTCATATGAGTTAACTTACATCTGATTGTTTTATCAGATTAGTTCGATATCGCAGGCTGAAGGAAAATCACCTCTCAGCTGGGGGAATATTCACTTATTTATAAACAACGATAAGTCGGTTGAGAGGTCAACTTCATACTAGCTTGCACACCGCCTAAAGTTGTGTAGTGGGGAGCTGTGACTAGCAGGGGAGATTGTAAAGCGAGCGTCGCTGACGGTCTATCGCTGTGAGGAGCCTGCACCGCAATCCCCGAATCGACCTTGTATATAGTGGCGGCACCAGCTCTGGAATGCTTGTAGGACCCACATAACCTATCTATGGCCCCTCCGCCAATACGACACCTGTATACCAACACTCGCCTCAATGGTAAACACTAAACTGACTGGTCCCGATGTTTGACATTGTAACTCACTCAAGCGCAAAAATTCATTCACAGCATTAGCCTCAGACGAGGCCCCTGTGAGAATCTCAGAATCTCCAGTTACTTCTGTACCGTTATAAACTCTGTCGGTAGCTTGTCATACTCTGTCAGGGACATATATTTAACCGACACGTTCATACACAGGTTTACTGCAAGCTCGTCAAGTGGAGATATCGACCGAGTGACAAGTAGTGGATCGTTCTACCACGTCGCTGTTACAAATACATGTAGAGGTGCCTTCACAATCCGCAAATATTACTGACACAATTGAAACATAACAGCTGTCAGGGGGCCATGTGTCACGATTCATTTCTCCCTAGTACATCACACCTGTCACTGAACACTGATGCGAGCTCAACAACAAACACGAACACTGAGAAGTGGAGCTCCGAGATGGTAGGTGCTAGGTAAGGTATTAGCGTGTACTTACATATGGCGATATGTGGATCCATAGTTTGGTCCGGAACAGGACATAGTTTCCACACATAATGTGAGGGTTGATGAAGCTGGCACTCACAGGTTCCAACCCGGAAGCGGAGATGTTTGCAATGTGTCTCCTCGCTACTTCTCTCGTCAATGTCGGCAAGCAGTCGACTGCTTCCGGGAAGCTATATATAGGTCATATGTCAGAGCGGAGGCATGCAAGTAGGTCAGTTTTGTGCGACGTGTCAGCGAGTCCCTACCGACCGTAGTTTACAAACGATCACGAGTACAAACAATACAACCGTCACAGTATAAGTTCGATGTGCCACTGAAGTGGTGTACAGGATGGGCTTCTAAAATACGAGACCGAAGCTGGAGAGTGTGCATTCATGATTAACTATGACGTCACAAGCAGGTGGCGTCACGCCAAACGTTTTGACGTCATGCCATCCGTACAGATCTTCGCAGCTTGGCCCCGTCTGAGATCACAATACAAGACACTCTCTTACCCAGAGTTCCATGCGGCCAGCATAGTGCCTCTGCCACAGGTCAGCGCCACATGTCATGATTCGTTGCATCTTACAGTCCATTCAAGATACTGCATGCAGTTTTCATCTGTTTCACTTTTTACGAGTCTATAGATCCATACAAATATATAAGGGTTAAATTGCATTGAGAAAATATCTTAAAAGTGAAAAACTATTTCCATTTGTGTAGCTATCCCTTGTTTTTGTTGGTTGTACGGCTCCTCGTGCTGTCGTCGAAGCACAACGGAGAGCTAGCGATACGGTCACTTTGATGTATAAATATGCATTGTCGTGTCCCTCACCGTCGCAGGTGTAGCTGCATATCAACATGATAATGTCAGCAATATGTAAAGCGCACCGAAAGGCTTGCATTAGGTCAGTCTGTTCTGCTACAAAAAAAAAGGGAAAAGTCTGGTCACATGATATGCAAATTAGCCTGTGGCAGTGGTGGTTTGCTAAGTCAGCACTGTGCCGGAGTATGAATACAAGAGTACAGGCCATTGATACAATGGCTGTCAACGAGAGACAGTTATAGGTCTGTCACGTGCGTTTCTATTGGTTGCTATTTTAGATCACGAATCTTCGTCTGTTTAGTTTACCAGTCGGCTGAGTTCTTCACAAAACTCTCGTGTTTATTTCTTAATCAGCAAAGAGAGGCTTTTAATGCAAACATTAGCAGCAATATGGTGTTAGGTGGCGACTCCTAAATTGAAACAATGTGTTAACCCACCAATCTGTACGTAAAAGATCTTAGTGTGAAACCAACAAACAATCAACAATTGGTATACAATCAACCAAGTGCATTGCACAATTAACGAGGTTTACAAATCAGTACAGATTTCTGCACCTTAACTACAATGGCGTCACACAATAGAGTGTGAGCAGTGGAAACGACAATGACAAGAAAAATATTCACCTCACTGCAACAGTATTCAGGCTTCCGAGATAGTCCCAGGCATGGACTCCAGGGTGATCTTCACACAAAAAGGTTGGTCTTGATGTAATGTCAGAAGAAATGTGAAGTGATACAGGCACGTGCCCGCGTCAAACTGGCTTCCATTACTTTCAACACAGTACTAGACCAGTCCAGTATCACTAGAACATTACAGAATATTTAAATTGTTTCTGAAACGCTTGACATCCGTCCATGCTATTCTGGAAATTCGCAGATAATTCGAGCATCGAAATAAAATAATTTCCTCACCTCTGCTTACATAAAGGAGTACTATATTCCTGACAACTAATCCAAATACAATGTTATGGACTTTTTCTGAATCATAACAAACAATGTAACACAGTCACAGTCAGTGTTCAACAACAAACTTACACTGCCATATACCAATGGTCAGTACCAGGATCACCCTGTTATTACAAAAGCCGTTCCTTGGTGAGATGGTCTCTCATATCATTGTGGATGATGCTCAATGTTTATGAAACATGGGATGCTTATCAGCATGCGGACATGCTAAGTATTGGTGTAACGGTACGGCGATACAGTATTGTGTCTCGATACGAGTCCCATAATGCCAAACACCGATGTACAACCCTTGTATCGCTATACACAACATTACATTGTTATATTGGTGTAAAACAAGTGAACCACAACAGATCAAAAATGCTGATATCCAAACTACATAATGATATTTACAATGGGTTTGTAAGCTAATGTATAGCATTTCATGCTATGCTAAACACGTGGATGCCCCGGTGAGAATTTACCGTGTGTCACGGTATATTTTCGTATTCTTTTGTTCACATGTAACCAATTGGTTCGAACACAGATATCGATACGGAAACCATACACTTTCTGTTATCATTCCAAATTCTAAGATCTGATGAAATCGTAGCACATAAATATATACAGTAATAGATACATAGATGACCCTGTCTAAGACTTAAATTAGTCCTTAGGTTCCCACATTGATCTAATTGTGAATTGTAATTTGACTCCTGTTACCCAATTATTAATCTAGTACTGGTCTTATCATCAAATGTAATGAACTACAGATAATTTGTTTGTTTACAAGCAAACATGGCGTCGCCCTTGTCATTGGTGATCGAGTCAGAATTAACTATCGGGATTCTGGAGAAACTACAAGGATAATTGCTATCAATTTCAAAATAATAGTCTAATTTACTGAACATCAGTGTCTACCTGTGACGTAACTAAGGCATTTTAAGTTTGGGCAACTTTGGAGATATTAATTGCAAGACAATTTAGCAGGACAAGAGCCAAGCGGGGTCAGTTTCCATTTCTGTGCTTGTAGACCTCTGCGGCTCGGAATCCTTTCACCATAATATAACAGCTGGATGTGGCCGAAATATGTCCGAATATACCTTGTTTCATTTGTTCGCTGTGTGTACATCTGACTGCACTTCGCTGTATGTACATCTGACTGCACTTCGTAACGTTATGACATACTCTGTGAACAAACGTGACGTCCCACAGACTAGCTTCGCTTCGATAAAGGCCAGTTACACTAGCGGACAGACCGATGAATTGCCGCGAAAGGCAAGTAGAAAATTATTTGGTGTTGGAAATTGTTGTTTTGCCTACAAGTAGTTACGCCATTGTATAAGAAACATATTTCAGTTGGAACTATATTGGCTGTTGTCACTGTCCGACTGACACATCACTTACCTTCTGAACTATTGATAATATTAATCTGCACATTCCAGGAAAATTTGAAACGTTTAGAAATCTTTCTGAGAGATGGGAGAAAATGTTTTGCCAAGGCTCACTAAATACAATGTTTATTTCTAATACATGGGTATCTACCATCCATAAGCATGATAACCTCTATGTATGTGTGATATGCTGGTATGTAGAGGTATAGGTGTACAAGCATATATGCCTCTACATATATGTGTATGGATGCAACGGTTTGGTTATATACCGATACTATGTTTATGTGTGTATTTGGGTGTGACTTGTATATTCGCATAATGATATTTTTTAAGGTAATTACAGTCAATCTAAATTTATCATTTATGCACAGTTTACTTTCATTAATTGCTGAATGTCCTTTGTATAGAGAGGTGTTGAAATACGATCTGCCTGTTGACCCACCTCATTCCTTTTTGGTGAAATATATATTGTTTAAACTAAACCGAACATCTGCACGATCATTTGCCAATGATTGCGTGATCGGTACAAACAATCTATACACATGGCATACTTGCTAATAAACATATGAATTTCCTTTATGAAGTTCATAATCATCTTAAAAGTGTTCATCTTCCAGGTATCCGCATAACCAGACACTTACTGAACAGTGTTCATCTTCCAGGTATCCGCATGACCAGACACTAACTGAACAGTGTTCATATTCCAGGTATCCGCATGACCAGACACTAACTGAACAGTGTTCATCTTCCAGGTACCCGCATGACCAGACACTAACTGAACAGTGTTCATCTTCCAGGTACCCGCATGACCAGACACTAACTGAACAGTGTTCATCTTCCAGGTACCCGCATGACCAGGCACTAACTGAACAGTGTTCATCTTCCAGGTATCCGCATGACCAGACACTAACTGAACAGTGTTCATCTTCCAGGTACCCGCATGACCAGACACTAACTGAACAGTGTTCATCTTCCAGGTACCCGCATGACCAGGCACTAACTGAACAGTGTTCATCTTCCAGGTATCCGCATGACCAGACACTAACTGAACAGTGTTCATCTTCCAGGTACCCGCATGACCAGACACTAACTGAACAGTGTTCATCTTCCAGGTATCCGCATAACCAGACACTAACTGAACAGTGTTCATCTTCCAGGTACCCGCATAACCAGACACTTACTGAACAGTGTTCATCTTCCAGGTCCCCGCATGACCAGACACTAACTGAACAGTGTTCATCTTCCAGGTATCCGCATAACCAGACACTAACTGAACAGTGTTCATCTTCCACGTACCCGCATGACCAGGCACTAACTGAACAGTGTTCATCTTCCACGTATCCGCACGACCAGACACTAACTGAACAGTGTTCATCTTCCTGGTATCCGCATGACCAGACACTAACTGAACAGTGTTCATCTTCCAGGTACCCGCATAACCAGACACTTACTGAACAGTGTTCATCTTCCAGGTACCCGCATGACCAGACACTAACTGAACAGTGTTCATCTTCCAGGTATCTGCATAACCAGACACTAACTGAACAGTGTTCATCTTCCAGGTACCCGCATAACCAGACACTAACTGAACAGTGTTCATCTTCCAGGTACCCGCATGACCAGACACTAACTGAACAGTGTTCATCTTCCAGGTACCCGCATGACCAGACACTAACTGAACAGTGTTCATCTTCCAGGTATCTGCATAACCAGACACTTACTGAACAGTGTTCATCTTCCAGGTACCCGCATAACCAGACACTCACTGAACAGTGTTCATCCCACAAAGAGTTCACTGCAATTGTCTACCTCAGTCAGACAGACTATAACTAAAACTTCAGTGAGCTGTCGCTCATAATTCCATAAAATGCCTGTTTGTTATATATAAATATACATCACTATAAAAGGTATGAAATCAAAATAACTACTTCTCTACAATGTGAGTGTAGTCGTCTATGAAAATTTGGGGTAACCAACCTATGCTCAC